GGAGAGGGGAGGGAGGTGCAAAACAGCATTCTCATCTCCAGGGACGATGTTGTTAGATAAACGACAAAAGATTATACCCTTTGCGCTTTTTTCGTTTGTTTGTTTTTTTGTTTTTTTGTTGGTTGGTTGTTTAGTTTGTTTGTTTTGTTTTGTTGCTGTTGTTTTTAGTTTTTGTTGCTGTCGTTGTTAGCAACAGTCACACTAAACATGTCATTATTACAGCACCAAAATGAACATGCTATTCTTCTAGACTCACTTAAACATACACAAATGGGCCATTCTAACTGGTGGCGTCGGTAGCCAAGTGGTTATGCTACCAGACACGCAATCATCAGATAGCGGGTTCGGGGGTTCGAGCTGAGCCTCAGCTCGGTCCAACGATGTTTTGTCCTTGGGAAAGGCACTTTACACGAACTTCCCACTTGCCTCGGTCCTATCGGAGACGGACGTTAAACTAGGAGGTCCCGTCCCTTAAATAACCTAATAGTGTTGATAGGGGCGTTAACCCCATACCATTTCACCATTTTCACAGTTCTAATTGCTAACCCGATCTGATCTTGCGGACACCACTCGTTGAACACTACCATTCTCTCCACCGACGACAGACTGGTTGGTAAGTCGACACTTAAAAACGTGGCTGTATACCAGTTTAATGTACCAACAACAATCAGCGTCGAGATTTGAGCTAACATTCCCACCATACTCTAAACTAAAGCCAATTCTGAAACCTAAAAATTTCATTGAGCAATTAATGACTTTTGTCTTTGGTGTTACGATTGCAACATATGCCGACTTTTCCTCGTTTTCTTCTCAATGGTAATGCCGATCTCCCATTAGTATACGTATTTATCAATGATTTATTTTCTTGTATAACAATAGTTAAGTTGACAAGTCTGGACTGCTAGAGAAGCTGACTAGAGCAGTGTCAGTGAAAAGTCCATCTCATGTTGACATTAACCATACATGACACTTATGAAGCGTGTTTCCATTACATATTATTATTATCATTGTTATTATTACTATTATTATTATCATTATCATCATCATCATCATCATTATCATCATCATCATTATTATTATTAAAAGTTGTGAAATTGTATAGGTTTAACGCCCCGTTCAACAATGTTACGTTATTTAAGAGGCGAGACATCCGAGTTTAACGTCCTTCTCTGAAAGGACGGAGCCAAAACGGGAAAATTCATGTAAAGTGCCTTTCCCAAGGACACAACGTCGGACCGAGCTGACGCTCGAACCCCCGAAACCTCAATATCACGATTACGGATCCTGTAGCTTAACCACTAGGCAACAGATGCCACTTAGTATTATCATCACAATCATTACTGTTAATATTATTATTATTATTACTATCATTCTTATTATCATATTATTTTTATTATCATCATCATCATCATCATTATTAGCAGCAGTAGTAGTAGTAGTAGTAGTAGTAGTAGTAGTAGTAGTAGTAGTAGTAGTAGTAGTAGTAGTAGTAGTAGTATCATTATCGTTATCATCATCATCATCATCATCATCATCATCATCATCATCATAAAATACAACAGTTACCTGAGGGAAGAAGCTGACCACCAGTAAGGTCCGAGTAAGATGACCACCCATGGTGATGGTGCAAGTCTCCCACCAGTAGCTGCCCCGCGTGGCGTTGAGGCCGTCGATGTACAGTGGGATGAGCAAGGCACAGCTCACGACCCAGGGCGTGAGGAAAAGGACCAGGATTAGCGTGGTGCGGGTGGCGCCTTCAGAGTAGGCTGAATAGCTGGGGGAACGAGAAAACACAGATTGAAAAATGGTGAAATGGTATGAGTTTAACGCCCCTATCAACACTATTAGGTTATTTAAGAGGCGGGACCTCCTAATTTAACGTCCGTCTCCGATAGGACCGAGGCAAGTGGGAAGTTCGTGTAAAGTGCCTTTCCCAAGGACACAACGTCGGACCGAGCTGAGGCTCGAATGGCCGAACCCTAAACACAGATTGGTTGGGTTGTTATTTATTGTGTCATGACGCGGTGGAATCAGGCGCTAGTCAGTTTTTGGCCATATGGAACTATTGGTATATAATCGAAAAGCGTGTTATTTGTCTTGTCTTTAATAGAAGTCGTGATGCTTTGGATTGAAGAAGGTGGGGGTCACCTGGTTTCAGAGATAAAATTAACGAGAAAAAGGCCTCCAAAGTTTGATAATTTTCAAAGCTTGAGAGTCCTTGGAAACTGTAAATTTACATACTATGTGCCTTTAACAACGTGTTTCGGTAAAAATCAGCACAGCACAGCAATGTATTTTAAAGGATATAGAAGGTGTTGAGCCAAACAAACAAAAAATGACCAAAAATGACCAAAAATGCGACACGGGAAGAAAAATGATGTTTTCTTCGAATTCATTATTTTGACGAGCGCCTGGTTTCACTACATGTATTAAATTGTAATTTGATTTTGAGAAGGTGATGGGGCTGGGAGTAGTTTGCTTGTGTGTGTGTGTGTGTGTGTG